TTTATTCTGCCTCGTGTAATTAGTTTTCTACTTTGTTTGTTAATAAAACAAATTACTATAAACTAATTTAATTGCAACATATGTATATGTCAACAATACTACACACACACACACACACACACACATATATATATATATATATATATATATACCATACAACCGAACACGTGGGCCTATGGCCCACATTTACGGGGACGCTATAATGCAAATATAATTTATTTAACCAAATTACGAATGGCTATTAGTAGACCTATTTATTTATGTGCTCTAATGTAAATCAATGCCAAATTTGGGGTCAGCTTTCGGGAAATCCCCGTAAAAGTGTTTTTGCGAAACATCTGTGTTCTCTAAGGGGTTGGGTGAAAAGTTTCGCCTTTGTGCGAACTTGGAGGTCGAGACTATTTGCTTGGCACCATTTAAAAGTCGGTGTGAGCAGCGGGCTTAGAAGTTACGTGACACACACACAAAATCTTATTCTATTAATACGTATAATGCCATATACATATAAATCAACACAAGTTTCAAATGTACGCCCAGCAACCTATATGGTTGTTTTCATTACTTATGTCCTGATACTCATACAACACGATACTGCGTCGCCATCTATGAGCCGATAGCTTAACTCTCTCGCTGAACATTACGAAATAAATAATCGCAGGTGGAATTCAACTGAATTAAGACTTTGTAGGAAAACTTAATTCATACTTCATATTCGTGATATTCACTACAATATAATTAATACACACCCAGATAAACATAAGCTTAATACAGTTCTAAGAACTTATGAATGAAAATAATATATAACAAAATATCAACCACACAATATCTTATATCCAGTTCTGAGGAGGCCCTTCGCCCAGTACCGGGACTAATCATTAATTAACACAAATCAGAATTTATATTATCAAATTGCAGAAACAACAGTTGTTATGATGTGAACCAGATTACGTTGGTGAAGTGTAATATTTATAAATGTTAAAAGTCAAGATTGGAGTAAGTATTAATATTATTATTTATTCAACAGTAAAATACATTCACTGTTCTAGACAGACACAAATACCAGTCGCCCTATTATCATGATATCTAAACTATATAAAAGCCAGTGTGTGTGTGATGTCACGCTTGATTTTTCAAAATAGGAGGTGGCATAAAAGCCAAAATGCATTTATCCAGATACAATAGTTCGATTACTGTCTGCTCATTACGACTTTAGTGACTGGGGTGCCCTAAAACCTTATAAGTGTAGTGAGTGTTGGTATAATAAGCCTAAAGTAAAGATGTAGTGTTGGATCACTTAGTCTAAAGCCAAATGCATAAAATTTCTCAAAGTAAAAATATTGATTCAATTTTAAACTTTAAAAGCTTCATAATTAAGCTATTTTCTGTTATCTCACCAACCTTTTAAATAAAAAACAAACTTCTTTAATCAGCGGATATTCTAATTTAAGAAATCAACAAATATGTTTTCAATTTTGTTGTCTATACATTTCATTTTTTACTTTCAGTACAAAGACTAACAACAATATTAGGTTATACTTTTGTTGCTAAGCAACATGACACAAAAGCCATTGTAGAAATGTAGTTTACCAAAATGCACTGGATTTTCTATATATTAGAAGTTGTTAATCTAACTGATTTTTACCAGTAGCAATTCTATGGATATGTCACAAAGGAATTTACTGATGTTTAACTGCCTCTTGGTTGGTTAAGCTTGAATTCACAAAATTTATTTATTATTTATTTCAGTTAGCTATGAAATGTGAGGTTAGGGTATACTATGGGGTGGGGGTGGTAGTACTTGCCCTGTCATTTTTGATGGGTTATACACTAGTTTTGCACTGACAGACTGATGAAAGGTAGCTA